TGGAGTTGACCTATATTTTTAATTCCAATAGCCCCTGTCTAACTGTGCATGTCCGTTCTCAACGATTTACAAATTCAATGTGCTATAAATGTGCTTGTTTGTTTTACGTCAGCGATTGAGAAGATTAAACGAAATGTTAACATCTCGCGACATATGTCTTCTTTCGATCTTGATACGATGGATAAAGGGGACCCAGTGTTTCAAATGTACTTTCGCAAGTGACAATATAAAAAAGCGAGCTCTCTGCTGGAGACCACAAACGGCAATGTTTACCAGATTCAGCTCTGATTAAATAAATTTCCAATGACGGTTCATTTAATCTTATTTTAACTAAACAAATGGTAAATAGGTTTTGACAGTTTGTCTTTATGCTGTGCTATTTTTCTCGCCGCACAAAGACGGAACCGTTTCATATCCCCAAGGTATCCTCGATTTTCGGAGTCCAGTGCCATACTGAAATCTATGGAACAACTGCTGATGATTGCCTAAACTTATGACGATTGTGTAAGAGGCGGTTCGGTAGAAGTTGTGCAAAAACTTTGGCTGTCACGTCGAGTAGGCGAAGTAGATAGATGGTCAGGAACTATTTTTCGCTTAAGGTATAACTGTTTACATGTTCGTCCGATCACTTCCGAACAAACTGCGTTGTTTAATTTGGCACCATAATGCGGGCCACTTTCTTCAATACCGCTTTAGTGCAGTCACTGCAGCTCTCCATGCGGCAATGCAATGAACGTAGTTAGTTGAAGTCCCATTTCATGTGTTCTGCGTTAGCATTGCGGTTTTTTCTCTCTTTATATATCTCTCGGGTTTGTGGGTTTGGTTCACCATTGGAATCGCGGTAGCATCATCTTACTCGATATTTTTATGCGATTAGTTAGGACCGTACAGAGCTCAAATTCCAAATATGCATATGGTTCGATCCTTTACATCCCAATAGGCTGAAAGCCGAACAACTCTGTGTATCATAGCATTACTTACACTAGTGGTATNCTTTCTCGGTGGTGGAATCTGTACAAGTACAAACTTCATTGTCATTTCATAGCTTCCTACTGATCAAACCGAGAAGTCACCATTTCAAGTTGGTACTGAACAGGCGGTATATGTCACTGTCACTACCGCTATCACTGAAATTTGATGTTAGGAAGCTTCACTGTCTTCTGGCTCAATCCTATACTTACCCTTGTGGGGTTCGACACTAAGTGTCAAAACTTAATTTGTTAGTTATTATGAACGAACAGCTAGTCCAGGTGACTATGGCGTTTAACCTTTCTACTGCTCCTCATACGCGTATGAATGTTAACTAATAAAATGGGTGCTGCTTAGGGTTCGATACTAGCACAGTTTACAATTTTGATCGATATCAATTTTTTGTGACTGAGGTAGTTGAAGAAGCAAGGATATAGCGCCAAACATAAGTTGTTTGTATTAGTCTTGTGACTTCCTCAAGCCTTGGCTGCTCATAGGATGTTGGTGTTGGGCGGTTCTCCGAGCTGGAAATGTTTTTTTTACAGACAGTTTGTGGTCAGTCTAGGCAACATTATCAGTGCGTGAGTTGATGGTCACCAACTTCCGTCTCTTGCGCCATATTCATTCAGCATTGTATGTTCATTAGATGAGTAAGCACCACTTCTCACTCCATTTCTTACAATCCCCCGGTCATAGATGTCCAAATTGAAGAATACCTTCAATAGTCCTGCGATTTCTGATATGATATATCTTTCTTTGTGTGCTTTGTTCGCAGTAAAGCACCCGTTAATACCAAGTAACTCGCGTGTATCGATAAACCGAAACATGTCCCCAATAGTTGGACTGTCCATAAACAGTCCTGTTTTGTCTTAATTACAGATCGACTAAATGTTGCGTGATATCGGGTGTGCTGATAACAAGTGATTGCAGCACGCCATGTTCATCATCATCTTAGTGCATGATCAACGGATTCATCGTGATTCCTGAGACATCACATAACTCCAAGACATTTATTCTCTGTCGTTCATTGTCCGTCTTGTTTTTTTTCACACACGGATTACGTGTTTATGTTCTTCTTGTGTTCACATGTGAGCTCACATCAATCGAAGTGAGCTAAAGCTCCTGTCCAAAGAATTACCTTCTTCCTAGCTTTTCGCGATTGGAAATTTCAAGTCCGAATAAAGCCCTAGTCACAATCATTAGACTAAAATGCACATTGAAAAACGAAGATTGGCATCCGTCCAACCGCGCGTATATCATTTTTGTCTTCTCCGTAGCTTTAAAAGACTAATATCTGCATTCACACATACGATAAAACTGCTGTGTGGTAGTGGTGTTGGTGTGGCTAGACCTCACAACCTCCGAATGTTGAGGCTAGTTACAAAACTGGTCCCACTTAATAGTCGATCGTATTTCTATTGGGTACGGTGTATAGATTATCGAGCATTGCACATATAAACATTGGAACCAAATCGCTAAATTGAATCCACATCGATCGTTCAGATCTGTTTGCAAAATGTTTTTTTAAATATTCCTACAACTCATCAGCGTCAGATAGTCCTCCGTTGAGTAAAACCATTTCACTGCACCGCATCATTCATCATCATTCTGCTGTTTTATCCAAATGGGCCACCAAAACTGGCGCACGAAAGTGTATGGTTAATGATTGCAAGAACTGAACTGAACTGCACCATCTTAGGTGGCTAGGGCACGTCGTACGAATGCCTGAGCAACGTTTGCTACACCGTACATTATTCATGGACATCGGTCCGGGCCGGAAGCAACAGCAAGGTGGGCAGGCTATGGAGTGGTGCCGAAAGCTAAAGAGATTGTGCTGGGATCTGGCTTTATTTGGAGTTTCCCGGCTGGGGCCCCAAAGATTCAAATTGTCTTTGGTTGAAAATACTGTGGGATGTGGCATCAAACCGAAGTCAATGGCGTGAATGCATCCTTTCCCGTGTGCGATCCCAAACATAAAGAAAAAAAACTAAAAATGGCGCGCAGTAAACAAATCAAAAGTTTGCTGTCCTCGTATCTTTAAAGATTAATGTTATATCAGCTTCATGCTCACATTGACCGTGTCGATCACGTGATTCTTTTTCGATGGCAATCCTTCATTTGCCCAATGCAGCTGGCAGTTCTGATTTTATTTGTTTTGAATGTTTCCAACAAGTAGGTCGCTTGTCTGAACAATATGGTGTTTGCTCTGGCTACGCAAACGCAATTGTTTTTTGTCTGGCATATATGTATCGGATGGAATTCTCCTAGTTTAAGGTGAATTTAACGTCAAGTTCACCCCACTGATGGCTCACTGAGTTGCCTACCTTTTGCTGTAGGTGAAATGTGCTTATTTGAATTTCCCTGTTAGAGGTGATTTTCTCAAAGTTGCGGTTTTTAAATTCTCTAAGAAAATTCACAGTTACGATGTGATCTAATTGGCCCGTAGTATAAACTTAGTCAAATTTTGTTTATATATATGCTGTTGTTAACTTTAACTACCCGTATGAAACCTTCACAATCTTGTTAGATTTTATCATATGACTTATTGTAAAATAGATGAATGATCATGTTTTCATTCAAATGGAGGCGATTTACCAACGGAAAAAAGAATTACTTAAAATGCTGTTATTATGATCGCTATTATTGGATACAAGTTTGCTCACATGGATACAATTGGTCCCGTCGGACGAAAACCGTGTCACTTTTATTGAGCATCATGTCCAATACATCCGCCCACCATGACACTGGTATGACATGTTGCATAACGAGGTACTTTGTAATACAAATCCACTTCACATTCTGGTCACGTGGGTCCCGAACTGGTTATCTTAATTGATCCGGTTAGGCAGGTTGGTGTACACGCATTTCGCTTATCATTCCATGTGCGGAGTTTTTTCGATCGAGGCTTTCTTTTTGTTGTTATTGTTTCACATCTGCTCCATTTTATTTTGAGTAATATCAACTAAACAACAGCGTCCTCTTTCACTTACTGTGACTTTGCTTCTTGCTCCCGATTTGAGATTTGCATTGCCTTTTTTGTCTTCTTTTCACACACACCCTCTGCTATGCAGTCTGGCTACAATCCCGATCACAGACTATCCAATATCGTATGGTTATGTTCGATTGCCGCTGGTTGTGGTGTTCCATTACGTGATTTGCTACCTGATCAACAGTGTAACGCTATTGTGCACAGTTTGATCACCGTGATCGATACGAATATGCCACAACAGAACTTGGACACTTTCGCTGTGACAGCATCCACCGTGCTGTGCATGGCTGCTATTCCCGGTACGTTTTTCGGTCTATGTGTACGGATGAACTTGGAGGGAGATAGCAGTTGGTTTCTTGATGGACGCTTTTACTGTACTATTAAGCCGTTATCTAATCAAGTGATTGTTGATATGTGATTCCTAGGTGAGCACTTTTTCTATCTGGTAAATCCACTAGTTTTAGGTAACTAAATCGTTTCATCGCTGTAGAGGCAAGATGGCATACGTTTTCTCGTCGGAAGTTGAATTTCTACTGTCGGAGTTGGAACAGTTGCAATCCAAGATAGTTGAACCGAATCGTTGATTGTGCACATGAAGAATACTGTCTGTCTAGTTGATAAACTAATTCAGCAAACGTGGTGTCATATACGGAGCAGTATTTTATCGAATTGTGACCCTAATGTAGTTGGTGAATGTTTACATTCTATTTGCTTGGGACTGAACGTAATGCATCGTAATTCAATACCAATCAATGGAATTGCTATCCCGCGATTGCAGGTGGTTTCAGCCAATATCGCTGGTCTTCTCAGAGTCCTGACTCCGATCATTGACCCATGTATTCCCCATCACTGACAAGATATTTTGATGTTTATTAACTTCGCGTTCTCCCCGCTCACCACCGTGCCTATCCTAGTGTTGTTGTAAGATACTACTCACACTTGTGAGTAGTTCACAAAGAGATCCGATTTGCGGTTTCTCTCAACAGTGTGACTGAATGTAGTTTGCTGTTCTACACGTTCTACGGCTGTGTTTGCTTGCTCCAAAGGTCAACAGCTCAGCCAACTCATCACCGACAAACCAAGTAATTCATTCCCAAGGATCGCATATTCGATCACTTCCTAAATCAAACTCTCCAGTTAAACTTAGTTCTGTTTTTCCATTTCGTGATGTATTTCTCCAAAAAATCAAGGAATTTCATATCACTGATCAAAGTGAACTAACTAGTAATGAGAACCTTTTTGCTATTCTCATTTTTGAGATATCCCAGTTTTCAATGTGCGATTATTGCTGACTTTTCTACAACAATATGCTCGCAATTTGTCTTCTTTACAGCGTCTTTTTGACAACATTTATGAGCGACCGCAACAGCAAGATGACTCTGTGGTTTACCACACCGTGAACACTGAAACACATTGGTTCTTCGATCTTAGGCATTGATGCACCTATTATTGCCTTGCCTACAAAAGCGATCCTTTTTCCAGAACACAAACAGCTCGAAGTTGTGTTTCCCCTTTTTTGACTTCAAACTCAGTAACGTTCAGTTCGATGCTGAAAACCAATCACCTTGTGTAACGGTGTTTTAGTTCTTATCGATGTCGTTTGTAGTAATACTTGACCGTGTTTAAGAGGTATTGACTGTCAGTGCTCGATCCCGTGGATTTTGCTCCAATCCTACCGTGCTCGCCTTGAATCTTCACGCTTTTATTTCCTCTCCTTGCCTTGGTTGGTTCACCTCTCACTTTCGAAAATCTGACTGTGATATTTAAAATGGTATATAGATTCATTAACTTACGGTGCTTTTGCCTACAGCACCAACGTGGATCTATATTTATTGGTTAACCCAATTCTCACCTGTTCGCCCTCTCGTGGCTTGCGGCTGCTAACTTTCTTCCAATATCCGCCTCGTTGAATGTCGTCTGCCAAATTCGTTTATTTTTAGATGTGTTCAGCTTACCTCCCAATCAATCACTTCAGTTTATGAAGGTTGCTCAGGTGTGCCTGTGCACATTTTATGATAGCCTACCTGACTTGTGAAAAACAACCCGAACATTATTCATACCAAAACGCAATTTGGTCTTCCACCTACCTTTGAACTATGAGGCAATGGACCTTCGATTTCTCTTGAACGAACCCCGCATTCTTCTTGATACTCAATTCAAAAGGAAAGTAACGAACTAACTGGTGTTTGAAAACACCTACAGATTACCTCGATTTTCATTCAGCCACATACCGTCATCCAAATAGGTCAGTTCAGATTCCTTACCGCTACTCCTTGTGCGAAGATTAGGAACGGTGAACCTCCAGTCACATTTTCTAACTGCAGCCGACCGGTTGGCACCAAAACTGGTTTCCAACGTCACAGTAAGCGCTCGCTGATGTGGTACTCTAACATCGACCTATTGGCACATCAAATTGACTGCATCCTAGTAAGGTCTCGTTGGGCATCATCGGTCGAAGACCGCAGAGCCTAAGCTGGCGCGGAAGGCTGAAATATCGACGACCCAAGCACACTCGCGTTTGCCCGCCTGCAGATGTACATGATCACTCGAACAAAGCTCTCTCTTCTGGGCAGAATAAATATCGCTTCTCTAGAGCTTTCAGAAAAATTGGAGGCTCTTTTCCACGTTATCAGCGCAAACTGAGCCACGCGCTCCCAGACTGACAAGGCTATTCAAGATGAGTCGGACGCAGTTAAAACCACCATCAAAGAATCTGCACTCGCACTCACTCATTCTACGAGGAGAGATCATAAGCAGTACCGGGGAAAAAAATCGCTGACAGCATGGATGCTTTGACGGCTACTGTGGTCTATATCGAACTGTTTCACCTCACCCACACCGCTAAACGCTAAACGTTTTGTCCGAGGTTTTACTTCGCGGTGCTACGGGTCCAACATGCCAACGACAAATTAAAAAAAGCAGGTTGAACAATTCGATCATCTTCTCAATTGCTCTTTCACCCAAACGAGCGACCTAATGGTTCTGGGGCGCTCATATGAACACAAGACCAACTGTGACGCACCCACCAGGAATGAAGTAGCCATTATTTGGTGATTGCTGAAAAAAGGCAAGTTTCCTTTAGAGAATGGGTTAAGATGGAGTGTGCACAAACCTCGAATTGGTGATTGCATGCTTGCACTGTCAAGGCGCTGTGTGTCTTCAATAAAGAAGTTAGTGTTTACAATTGTACCAACACAAAGACAAAACCAATGTTGTGTTATGTTAAAAGCAGCCTTCAGTGACTTTCGAAGCGGCTAACTCAACGATTGCTGCTCTGTGCACTTCAATGAAGGTTAACAGACAGAATGATTAAAGTGGCGAACACGTACGTAAGAGTCCAATGGCTAAGTCTGCCGATTAAAAACATGGGAACATCGTGTGAAAACCGATTAGGTCAGACGACGTGTGTTAGGATCGGATAGTCTCCCATTGAGCCAAACCATTTCTCTGTATCGTCTTAGGTGGCTGGAACACATCCTACGAATACCCTAACAACATCTGCGGTACTGTGCGCTGTTTGCAGGCACTAGTCTAGGCTGGAAGAAACAACGATTTGAGCAGATTGTGTTTTGTTTTCGCCCTTTTCTGTTTCTATATTTCACGTCCAACCTATGATTTATCTACTGCTTTAGGTTGTTCAGCAAACGATCTTCGCCAACTGGAGTTCACTTCTCACTGGTGGAACTCGGTCCCGTTGGATTTATCTGAAGAGCTGTTAATGGATGAATCAAGCAAAGCACCTCNAGCACCTCACCGACCGTTGTATAGTCCAGCACAAGTTTGTCCTACGCTGGGAGATCCCACAGTGACGAAATCACTAATCACAGATATCCCGGATTCGACTAATCCACAACAGACTTCGTTCATTTCTAAATCCCACTCCTGTCAGGCGAGCTATAGATCCAGTTTTCCATGGGATGATCCGGGCTCAATGCATATTTCGACCGCATCCATGCCACCAACAGCGCGCACTTCGCACAGTGGTAACAATACCGAAACTATGGTATCGTATTTCATNATTTCATCGAACGTAAACGTTTCTTTGTGAGAAACATGCCCGAGGTTGGGGGAAATATTGCTCGGCGTAGACGATACGGTTCGGTCGCGTCAGCCACGCTTCAAAGTAAGTTTATTCCCTTTAATCAAGGTGTACAAAACTCCTCACTAGACAACAGGCTGCGGTCTATGACCGCTTTCTTTCAATGTTTTTGCATTCCTTTTACTTTTTGTGCATGCACTTTGAATATCATTGATGGATTCCCCCACACATGAACGAATAACTGCCCAACGTTTTTCCATATTCGTTTGAGCTTTGTCGATCAGATTCAAATTTCCAATTTTTATTATGGGTACATTACGAAACTGATGCTTATTGAATCCCATAAGATTTGTACACACTGAGTTCGGTCGGTGGGACAATTAAATTGAGAATGATAATGTTCACTCACGAGTGCTGATTACTTAGGTGTTTCAATGCTTCATTGAACCCTGAATGGAATGAGTCGATGATTGGAGCACAAACAACTTATGGTGGAAGTGAGTCCCAGTTATGGAATTGTGAACACTTGCAACCTAGCCGACTCTTTCGCAGCAAATTTCAGATGGATGTCTCCTGAGGTAACCATTCCTGGATAGTGTTAGTAGGGTACTACACGGGTGGTTAGGTTGATGTGGTATTTGATATACGAGCATCATTTCTCCCTATATTCGACGGTATTCAGATAATTAGAGAATGTGCAGCCTTTCACCGTAGTTTTTAAATTGTAACCCTTTGACCGTTTTGGTTGCTGTTCTCTGCAGACGTTCGAGTGTCTTTCGGTTGCCAATCAACCATAGATTTCAAGCTTGTATAGCGTACAGGGTCTTTTTGACCTAATGTCCGCTGATAGCAAACGGGGCAACAGGTCTGCCTCGAATTATCCAAAAACAAGTTTTATTAATTCAACTTGCTTTATGTTCTTCGGCTTCGCTCTAATGCAATGTGTGGAAAATCCTGGATCCTCACAAACAATAACTCGTAGATCCTTTTTGTTCGGAGCACGCGGTAATGGCTGATTTTCAATTACCTATGGAAAGCGAACTCCATGACGCAACGATACAACCTTGCATTACTGAACGTTGAATTCGCTATCATTAGTGATAGACCATCGGTAAGCTGCGTCGAGTGTTTCTTGTAGGGTTTCATGGTCTTCAGGATGTTGTACCGTTCCCCATGTTATGGCGTCGTCAGAGAATCATAGTACCTTCTCTCTTCAAGGACATGTTGGGTCGCTTATGAATGCCTACTTTCAATTTCTAATCTCAAGATCCGTGTGATGCGATCAAAAAAATACGGACCCCTAATGGATCACTTATTTCGAGCACCAATCTGTTGTCCTGTGGGGCTTAACCTGTTGATTGGGGTCGCTCTGTCCACATCCTTCTCTGATTAGGGCTGTGCGAATAGCACAATCGCCTGAAACACCAACAGAATATCGGCATTCATTTTCCCCGATCGTATTTGTAACTATATTTTATTTCTCTATTTGATGTTGATACAACGAACAGTAACGATACTGCTGATAGTAGTACCAGTAACAACATTGCTTCTCATCAGTGCGTTCACACACACTTGTATTCACAAATAATTTTACGTATTCAACTTGGCTCATCTGAGCATTTATACGTGATTATTCCGATCGCAGCCACGCGGTGTTCGTAGTTACTCTACTGAACTTATTTAATTTGTACTTTAGACTTTTCGTAATCAGGGTGTGTTGTGTCACGCTTGGGTCGTATACACACGAGGACACGTTGATGGCACAACTTGGATTGAGCAGGTTGTTCAATTGAACATGAATCTCTGTGCCACCAGATTATTGATCCAGTAGGTTAGTTTAGATTAGACCGATGGATAAAAATAAAATTGACGAATTGTGTGCGTGTACACCAAGTGTGATGTTTTGCTTCAAATACTTACTTCCGGAGATAAAATTATCTCCCCATGTAGAAGCGATGAACCCAATACTTACACTGACGTACTGTTTTGTTATGCGAACCAGTGACCTATTGTGCCAGTTAGGTTGGATGGGCACCAGCGTAACTGTCTGTCAGCAAAGCACTTGGCGTTAGCAGATTTCGAACCCGGAGCACGTCTGTACCGGTAGGTGAGCTCACTTTACACTCCTCTCACACACACTGTTGTTAATTCCTAATCACAGAACTGGACACCTCCGTCGAACTACCAACTTCTTCCGACTGCGCTCAGCCGCCTTCTGCACAAATGACCAGTGCACAACCAACCGTTTGGTTCGGCTGTTACAACGGTGATCTCTT